TCTGCGTAGTTTTGCGCCTTTGCTGGAACTCACTTTGTAGACCAGGCAGAGATCCACCTGCCTCTGCCTCCCGAGTGCTGGGATTAAAGGCATGCACCACCACCACCCGGCTCACAAAACAATCAATTCTCATGCTGGTCATGGTAGCATATACCTATATCCCCAGTTTTGAGGAAGGTGAGGCAGGAGGATCTAGAATTTCAAGACTGCCTAAACTAGGCACAGCAAGACTTTTTCTCAAAATAAATACGCCTTAAGCTTGTAAATATTATCCTAAGTATCACCGTGGGCCCCACAGCTTTACCAAGTTACCACGGCATGGCCACTAAACACTAAAAAGGTAGTGTGTCACTAGCTACAACCGTGTTTACTTAATCTCCTTTTCCATCTCAAATTTCCCAGGTGCTAAACTATGTCCTTATCTCTCAAGGTTTTTGAAGGCTGTAGCTCAGAATGAATGCCTAAAAGGGACGAGGAGACATGGGGACGGGGACGGAGACAGACAGACAGACAGACAGACACAGACAGACAGACAGACACACACACACACACACACACACACACACACACACGCTTAGTTCCTCTGAGATCCTAGCCTTCCACTTTATTCCCAGTGATGCTGCCATTCACATTCAGGGTTTCCTAAGCAGGATTTCTTGAGAATGAGTCACAAAGGTTCAGAGAGAGCTTTAAGTCTTATTAAGTTCTGTCAGCATTCTGGAACTTTTTGAGTCAGAAATACCTCTGCATCACATATACAGGTGCCCTCCTCTCCAGCACACTCATTCCAGTAACCCTTAGTCTCCAGGAAGACTATAATTTTGCTACTGTTATGAACTATAATGAAAATATCTGACATGCAGCAGACCTGATATGTGACCCCTGTGAAAGGGCCGTTCAACTCCAAAGGGTCACAACCCACAGGTTGGGGACCACTGGACTAGGTGGTAGGAAGGACTTCCAGACAAGAAGTCAGAGAAGGTAAGTTTTCCCTCCTCCAGCCAGCCTGGGCGCGCTTAGGCAGAAGTTAGACTCTGGAATAGCCTGCCATGTGCAAAGCTGGTTCTCTTCAATCTACTGTGCACCTAGGGCACATTATACAACCTCTCGAATTTCCTCTTCTGTGTCATGAGGATAATCATCAAAGGGAGTGCCGACTCACAGCAAATATGTTTGCTCTTATTACAAAACAAATAA